TATATTTATCATAAATTAAATATTTGAAAGTAAAATACCCGTAAAAAACCGGTACTTTGTCAGGATCAAGGGCTTACATTTGCACCAAAAGCTATAACTATTAGTGAAGGCGCAACTTTATTTCCTTAACCACAATGGCAGCGCAAAACACCGTACCACGCTCGGCCAGCATGAGGGGTTACAAATGTTGATATATTTATCATAAATTAAATATTTGAAAGTAAAATACCCGTAAAAAACCGGTACTTTGTCAGGATCAAGGGCTTACATTTGCACCAAAAGCTATAACTATTAGTGAAGGCGCAACTTTATTTCCTTAACCACAATGGCAGCGCAAAACACCGTACCACGCTCGGCCAGCATGAGGGGTTGCACCCCTGGGTGCCACGGGTTGGGCGGTTAGTCCCTTCGAGCCGGGATCTGAAGGATGTTGTTGATTAGGGCAACATACTTTACATGAGTAATGCGTATTTGTCCATAAATTATACTCCTTAAAGTTTATTAATTGTTAATTGATTTATATAGTACTTTGTCATTCATTGGACATGTAGCACAAAGGACAAATTTGATAAAAAATTCTAATTTTACTCTCTAAAATAATATTTTAATCCTTTGGACTGAATTTGTAAAGAATTAGTAACCTCAGGGGAGGTTAGTGTAATTTTTCAAACCACAAGCGAGGTTAATGCAAATGTCAAAAATCTCAGGGGAGGTTTCTGCAATTATCCCTTAACATTATTGTGTCTGCGCTTCTTAGGAGTAAAACGTAAATGTATGTGGATTTACGGGGGAGGCAGCCTCTGTTCTTAATGCTTTTTTCCGTTGAATACCAAGTCCACTTGAATTAAATACGACTCGTACAACTCTGGGTGGATCATGGATGGTCCTGCCTCCGCGCCGCCTCAGTTGTGAGAGTACAAGTTATACAGTATCTTATCTTTTACTCTGGACGAAGCAGGAGGAAGACATTGGGCTCTCGTTTTTGCCCTCTCAAGTTGCTTGGGTAGCTTACAATAATGTGCCTTGTCCTTATTTGCTTCGGCTCCTTAGAAGTTGATTATGGATTAAGCGATTAAATTTTTTTTTTTGAGTACAACATTGTTATAATTGGTCCTGTATGGTACCGGAGGAAAGAGGAGGGGGATGAACCTGTTTAATTTATTGAGAGCGTCGAAGGAAATTAGACAAACTTCAGCCATTCTGCAGGAAATTCTAGAGAGGAAACACAGTCCGATGACTTATATTAGGGAAAAGGGAAGGGAGATTGACCTATCTAATCTGTTGAGCGTTCCCTTTTGAAGAGGAGATGCAGTCGGAGGGACTTAGTCCCTTCGGCGGCCAACTGAGTTTTTAAATTTTTAATTTTCAATTCAACTTTTTATCTAAATTGAAAACAATTCCCAGTAGCTTTTAGCTTCAAATTTTTGTAATAATATGTTTCCTGGATAAAAGTACGTACACTGACACGTTAAGTCACAAATTTAAATTTGAATTTCAAATTTAAAGTTGTTGTATCAAATTTTGACTCATTTTTCATTGTGTAAATGTTTCGTATAAATTGAATATCAAAATATTTTAAAAAAAAATCATCATTTTTTAATATGTTGATCTGGACGCTAATAGAAAAAAGAATGGTAAAATCAGATGATTTTATAGAGTAAAGAGTTGTAACTTGTAAGCAGTAGCTGGGTCAGTTAAATCCACTGAGTACGTTAGATGGATGGATGGTCCAAGTCGTTGAATCACCGGTCTGCTTGAGCGTACGCCGAAACTGCCAGTATCTACATAGGGTTGCAGACTCGCAGCAGCGGAAGATGGGCCAGGGTTCTTCTACTCCATCTTGCAGTGCAAATGCTTTTGACACCTGTCTCCAGTATCATCGACATCTACCCTACCCCCTTCTTCTGATTTTATTTATGTGCTGGGGTCCCCGGTCCCGTGCCGGCAGTTCCCAACTGACTCGGTGGTACTCGTTGCCGGACCGGATCCAAAATCAGCTATTAGCCCCCATTCACCGTTGCTTGCTTCTTACCCACACGCTTCACGTGCCTCCTGAAATTTGCGCACCAGCTTTAGGTAGACCCATTTTAGACGCTAGCTAGCTTGTACTAGAATTTGGGTTGGGGTTCGGGTTAATCTTTTAGAGATTTATCATTCATTCCCTACGGGTTTAGAGTAGTATGCGAGGAGGACAGATGAAAAAAAGGTGCTGCACTGCAATTGACAACAACAATTTATTGATCGACGAAAACATGGCGTTGAGAGTCCGTATGATGGGGCAATCCGCACTCTGCAACTTCTATTTTGAGTCGGTATTATTCGCACGATTTACTATGTTCACAGGAGATATTGATACACTCATTACTGTGCTACTACTAACTCGTACTCCTAGTTTGCAAATGATTGACATTCGGGCCAGCTAAAATAGGACCAATCCTAGGCCAGCCAGATTCTACATAACTCAAATTTGTTGTTCATGTTACTGGAAAAAAATGTGAGGTCAACTTTGCCAAAAAAAAAAATTACTCTCTGCATATTGTGTAATACATTGGGTATAAAAGAGCTTGCAGACGTTGGTTGGCAGCTAGGGTTGTTAATTGGGTCGGATTATCCGAAATTCAAAGAGTTTGAACTTATATGTGATGTTCAATTCAATTGTGAGTTGAGTTGAGTTGAGAGTTTGCTAGGCTCAACTTGATTAAAACTCAGCCCGAAATATTGCACATAATAATGTCCAAAGTTTGATCATTGTATATTTTATAATTTACAAATAGTTTGTTATTTATATCATGTAACTAATATCATTATGTATTAACTATAAGCTTTAGTCTATTGGGGGTGTAATTTAAACAAATTATTTGATTTGAATTCGCGAGTGGCAAGACCAAAGATTCGACTCGGACTCAACATTGATTGAATTCGAATCGAGTTTGAGCTACTCAATAAGGTATGTGAATCGAGTATGAGCTAAAAGGGTTATATAGATAGGTACAATAACCTCAATGAGGTATTGATTATAATTTTAATTTATTTATTACAAAATTACATTTATAGATAGATAAGAGAGTTATAGAATTCACCAAAAACCTAAACTTAAGAATTCAATTGAACTCGAGTTTGAGTAAGATTTTAAGATCGGGCTCGAACTTAAGTGTTTTTACTCAAATAGACTTCAAATAATAATAATGTTGCCTTACTTTTTCGTACTCAAATTAAGCCCAAGGGATGAATATTTTTGTGACTATGATATGAACTTGAAACCTAGAAGTCCAAAATTTCTGCATGCACGGTAAGCTGAGTCCGGGTTTATGGAAACTCACTCACAGAACTCGATTGACAGGCTGTAGCCACCATTTTACAATTCTTTAACGAGTGATGAAATAACGCATAATCTTCAATGAGATCGAATTCGGTTAGACAACCACACTACCATATGTATGGGCTGAGTTTGGGCCGTGATGCTGTCAGCACAAATTCTTTTTGGGTCGAAAATTGGGTGAAATGTTTTTCAGGTTGCGCTCTGCTCGGCTTATTGACAACCTGGGAATCGAGGATAAGCAAACTGTAACTCTTGCTACCGTCTGTACAGAGTGACCTCCGATTCCAACAGAAATTAACAAAACCAAGGTAGCAATGCATCTAGCAATGGAGTTTTTTTTTTTTTTTTTTTAAGTTGTTAAATGAGGGTTTTCAAACCTGTACAAATGGTGGTTGTCTCTGCTTTATCAAGATCAGAAACAACACATGGATATGCTTCATCCCATATTGAATTTATGGTATACCAATTTAAGATGGTTCAATTATTGATCATCAATGGTGGCTAGCCAATGGCTATTCTACACACTATATTCAATCGGCAGCATAATCCCATAGATGAGTAAATATTTGCAGCGGTGACAACTACTGCGTTGGAGCCCCTCGGGGTCAGCTCAGCCGGTTGTCACATGGCCCTCTGAGTCATGCGACGCAGGTTCGAGTTTGGCCTCTCCTATCGTCTGGATGTTCTTGGGGGCAGGGTACTTCAGGTCCAAGGAGATTAGTCTGGCCAAGTTGGGATACTTTATGAATTGCAAAAAAAAAAAAGACAACTGCTGCGTTGGCCATTTCTAATGCCAATCTCAAGTAGCCCGTCTGTCTTCTAAACAACAAAACCATTCAAATCATAATCAAAATCAGTTGCATCTATCCGGTGGTGTGACTTTGGAGTACTGTAGCAACCATCACCAGAATGTGTTGGAACTAACTGATTAACAATTGTCTCCTACTCTGGTATTGTAAACCTTTGCTCTGTATTAGAGGAGTATTAGAGGAGTTCTGAGTTTTGAAGAAAATGACATTGTTGACCCGTTCTCCCTGCAGCAAGATGGGATTAAAAATAAAACACGCTACCTCAATGAATATATGGGATCCTCAGTGCCACTTTTTCGGTGATAACGCAGTGCTACTTTTATGTTTATACTAAGTGTCCTATTTATTCAACTTGTTATGTACTGTTTATTTAAGTTTTTTGTGATAAGTGAAATTGACACCGGAGAGTGACACGGACAATTCCAATTGCCTCAATCAGCTTAGACTAGACTAGGGGTGAGCAATTACGGTAATTACCGAATTACCGATCGAAATCGATTTCAATTTGGTAATTCGAATTCGGTAATTCGGTCGGTAAATCGGTGGTATCGAATTAGTAAGAATCGAATTAGGGTCGAATTTGGTTTTGGGGTTTTTGAATTCGGATTTACCGAATTCGAATTGAATTCGGTAAAACGGTAAAATATTACCGTTTTCAAATTCGAAATTCCGAATAATATTATACCTCAAGCTTTTATATTACCACACGTAAGCCTCGTCGTTATGACAACCTAAAACCATTCACACCTGGGCAGTTCATCTCCGTCAATTTATAGGACTAGAGCAGACTCCACTATTATCCGTATATTAGTTGATTAAAGCATAAATACTGAATATTTTGCTCAAAGAAATCGATCAAAGGAGAAGCAGAGATGGCGAAACTGTTGCAGGATCTTGTGTACCAGGAAGAATCTCCTTCGATTTACACAACAGCCCTATCTGGGATAACTCTCTTGTTTTTGGCTTACTTGGGTATCTCAGAAACCTTGGGAAATCACCTCAAGTACTCCAAATTCTGGAACGTCAATTCACAGAAATCTGGAGGGGGAATCAAACTACCCAGCAGAACTGGGATGCTTCTACTCTACAGCCCAGCAGCCGTTGCGGGTCTTGCTTCATTTCTGATCTTCCCCGGTGGTGGAATCAGGTTCTTGATGCTCAAATTAGCTATTACCATTCACTTCTCCAAGAGGGTCCTAAATTATGATTTCTGAATTTTAATGATCAATGTGAATTGTGTGTTGTTTTGATTTCGAATTTCTGGAGTGATTTGTGATCAGTTACATTCGAACAATTTGTAAGTTGTGGCTCAGTTCAATAGCATTGCTATTTGCTGATGAAAAATGGGCCGAAGAAGCAGTTTTCTGGAATTCGGTAATTCGGTATTTTTTTGTTTACCGAATTGAATTCGGGTTGAATTCGAATTCGGTAGTGTCTAATTCGAATGCGAATTAGGTCGAATATTTCCAGAACCATTTACCGAAAATTACCGATTTCAAGCTACCGAATTACCGAATTCGAATTCGATGCTCACCCCTAGACTAGACCAGTGGAGTGCTCACCAGGCTTGATGAAATTGAGGGAAAGCTAAACCACTGGCCACGGTATAGTATGGAGATCTTCTGGTATCTTTGAAGCACCAGATAACTAGCGTAAAGCATTGCGGATCTTCTAGTATATTCTGGTATCTTTGGAAGATATTGCGGATCTAACTCAAGTTTTTGACTATTGCACCATAACTTGGAGAAATTTCTAATTTTGTGATGAATTTTAAAAAAATTTTACAAAAGGGGTGATTTTGGTAATGAATTCCGTCCAGGGGGTCTTCGCATTCGTGAAATGCGAGCTCTACTTATTGAGCTCGCATTCCGCAAATGCGAGCTCTAATTTAATGTTTCTTTGCATGAACTCCTAGTTTGCTGTTTCAGACTTGCGGCTTTAAAACTTTATCTACTTCAGTTGCTGTTTGGTTGTCTTTGTTTGGCCGCAAGTTCTGATCTACTGAGATTTGTGTTTATAATCAATAACCCTGGTTTCATTTGAAGTGTTCAGTGTTAAGGGGTATTTGGGGTTAGAGCTGTTAAGCTAATCAAGTAGCTCGAAAGCTCGTTAGAGCTCGGCTCGTTAAGGCTCGAGCTCGGCTCGTTAATTTTGGTTAACGAGTCGAGTTCGAACTCGAAACATGCTCGTTTAGTTAACGAGTCGAGTAAGCTCGACTCGTTTGATACTCGAGTAGCTCGTTAGAGCTCGTTAATGAAGGGCATATTTGTCATTTTAGAAATCAAAATTATAAAAATTAAAAATTATAGGTTTTTATTAAGGTTAATTTGCACGAGCTCGAGCTCGAACTCGTGAAGCTCGATTCTTTTGTGATAAACGAGTCGAGCTCGAGCTCGAACTCGAGCCACATGTACATTTAACGAGCCGAGTTCGAACACATTTTAAAGCTCGTTTTCCTAACGAGCTCGAGTCGAGCTCGGCTCGAATTAAACTCGAGTCGAGCTCGGCAGCCAAATACTCGGCTCGACTCGGCTCGATTAACAGCTCTATTTGGGGTGATAGGTTCACTAGTTTTGTTTGAAGCTTTGCATGATTTTTCTGCATCAAAATTTGCAGAAGCATTGTTGTTGAAGAAAAAACTGTTCTTTGATGCTCGCATGATCCTTTCATCTAATTTGTTTTGTGCTTAAACATAAGGATTTTTGCGGCTAAAAGATGAAAAATGTTTAGAATTTTTATTACTATAGTCTAAGTGTTGACTGTTCAAGTCATTAGTTGCAGTCGAATGAAAGGAAACTACATCAGACACCATAAAGGCTGTGCCGCGAGCCTGCTGCTGAACCATCTTGCATGAAGTATTTTCAATATTTGCATGTTTTCCTCCTTGTCTTGGCTCTCAGTGAGCTCGCATTCCGGGAATGCGAGCTCACTTAGCTCGCATTCTGCCAATGCGAGCTCCAATTCGAGCTCGCATTTGCGGAATGCGAGCTCACGAGCTCAGTGAGCTCGCATTTCCGAAATGCGAAGACCCCTATTTGCAGAACACACTCCAAGAATCGCCCTCGTTGTAGAATTTTTTTTTTTTCTATCATAAACTAAGAATTCACCCCCATAACTTGGGTGCCTAGATCCTTTAATACAGCAAGTCATAGGCTAGCAAGTTTTGCTTCAAAGCTAGTTAATGACATATATTGGGCAAGTCACTTCCCAAGTTGGTTGAAAGAGGCAAATAGATTAGATGAAAGGGCTTATGCTCATTTTGTAAGTAATCCTTGTAGGAGGATCAAGTGTTAATATGTATAAAGTTGTCATCGTTTGTAGAAAAAAAAAAAAAAAAAAGAAAGATAACAAGCGTAAGGCATGTAAAATGAACCCAAGATATCTACTAGTGTAGAAAAGTTAGCGCAAGACTCGTATTTTTAGCGTCAAAATATTAGCGTGGCAAAAACAAACCAAAACGTACATTTTCAAATCACTAGTGCATTCTTAATGGATGGAAGAGATTAAAGAATCGCTAGTTGTCTTCTTATCCTTTTCAACAAATTTAAGTCATCAGCAATAAGGTTTATGGTTTAGTGAAGCATCAGCTTGGCCACCGAGAGATGATTCAAAACAAAAGGCAGGTGAAAAACCGGATGACGTATTCTGAGGCTGCTTCTATTATTTCTGTCGTTGCTTTTGCTATTGAAATTTCGAGGGTGGCAAGGAAGAAAGAAGATAACACTTGCAGTGGAGAGCAATATCTCAGTATATACAAAGTGTTATGGCCAAACGTGTTTTTTTTTTTTTTTTGGGATGATAACCTTCTCTTCGGCATCTCTGAGTAGACCTGACCCCTATTCATTGAATGCAGTTTCAGAGTGAAAAAAGAGAAGAGATCGAAAGAGAAGCTTCAGCTTTTATACTTCTACTACTACTGCTGCTGCAGCTGCTGCTGCAAGTCAATTACGTATAGGGAAAAAAAACAAATGTAGGATGATCATCTATGATGAACTGATCAACAGCCTTGCCCGTCTCGTTCAGTTCCGTTTCAGTAATTAAATTCTTCCATGGATCCACCAAATCTACCTTTTTGTGCATTCTTTAAACTTGTCACCTAGTGGCTGTGCCATCAAAGTTGTGGCAGTGGGGGAGACTAGTATTCGTTGTATTGTGCGTTACCGTCTTAAGCAGCCCAATTTTGCTTCCCATATGTTCTCTTTTGCCCTCATCTCTTAGCGAAATGTTAGTACCAAGCGGAAGGAGAGATTCGAAGAGAGCAGCAGCTAGCAGTCAGGACACAGGACTCTGGACGACGAGTGAGAAAATTTACCACATCAAAATTTCTGAGCGTTTACAATGGAATGGACAGTCACCTGTAAAAATAAAAAAAAACATGGGCTTTACCTAAATCTACTTACTTACAAGCATGTAAACCCTGGTCGATAACACAAGGTTCCAAGGAGGAATCAAGACTCAAATTCATTCAAAAAGGTAAGGCACATTGTCACTGTATTACATATGAAATAAAAGTGGATGGCGTCAATTTTAGGATATAGTATGTAAGTGAATAACTAAAGTTCTGACCAAAGGGAAAACAAAAAAAAATACAACTAAAGCAAGAACCGAGAGATCAAGTAGTAATAGTCATTCCGAAATACAATTAATAGCTGGAAATCCCACGCAACACTTTCTTATTTTCCCAAAAAAAAAAGAAAAAAGAAAAAAAAAGAAAGAAGAAAGAAAGCAGCAGCAGGTTTGGGAAGGGGACCAAGATGGATAACGACCTTTGATTTACCATATTTCCATCTTTTCCCCCCTCCTTTGTCCAACCGACAACAAATGCTGTCTCTCTTCCTTCCTCATTCTCTCTCTCATGTTCAAGCACAGTACCCACTGGCCACTGCTACTACGTACTAGTACTACTCCTCAAAAGCCCGCACACACGCACACACACACACAGAGACGCAGAGAGGGAGAGGGAGCCCTATTAAGGCTTAACTATTTATGAGCTGCACCCAAAAGTGAGGCCAGACTGAGAGAGATAAGGAAGTGCCTTACAACAAGAAGTCGTCCTCAGAAGTTTTCATTTTCTCTGTCTTTCTTTTCTTTTATCCTAATCTAATTACTAGTGTTATATACGTGTAGTGCACTGCTAACTGAGCTTGCACCTCCAGAGGGTAGTAAAGAACCCTACACCGCCCTCCTCGATTTCACCTTGTTGCTTCCCAAATTAACTAAAATTAGACTTCCTTTCTCTCTGTGGTCCAGCCAAGTACTTGACCAATTTGAAGAATATCAAGACTTCTTGTACTACTAGTATATATTTGGAACCTTTACTGCCATTTTTCCCTTAAGAGAGTGGGAGTTGGCAAAGCAGAGAAAAGGAGGTTCGAAAATATGGATTGGAATGGCAATCTTAGACCGCCCTTCATCTCTCGACCAACTGATACTTCTTTGGGCTTCTTCTACAACTATAATTATGACCCTTATCAAGGTGACTGATCTCGTCTATGCTCTTTTACTGCCTTGCTTCTGTAGTGCATCCATTAACCATCATTTTTTTTTCTGGTTTCTGCTTCGAATTGAACTACGACTCTTATTTTTTTAAGTACAATTCATCCAGTTCTCAAGCATGCATAACTTTTCTACGCCGGGTTTGCCATGAAAAACAAAACTTATCTTTCAATTTCTTAGTTGTATAATTTGTTGATGAATTAATTGCACCCGGTTGAAGAAATTTACCTAACATGAGAAATATGAAGGGGTTTAAAGTTTTATGACTAGCCATGCTGCCTGCAATGTAACAGTTAAGGTACGTGTGTGACTTTTTACAAGCTAGCTAGTTACTATGTCGAAAAGAATCGTGTTGTCTGGTCTTGGAGAGTGAAGACATGCTTTCTTTTTTCCTTTCTTTTTAACTTTTCTTTTGTTGGTTGTTCGCTCTTTGCAGTCATAGAGATGAAGCATGCGTTGCAGGCACCACATGCAGCAGTGGTCTCAACCATGGACAAAACCATTGGTTACGGGAATCAAGATCAGAAGAAGAAACGACTGACAACTGATCAGTTGGAGTCACTGGAGAGTAGTTTTCAAGAAGAGATAAAGCTGGACCCTGACAGGAAGATGAAGCTGGCCAAGGAGCTTGGACTTCAGCCTAGGCAAATTGCAGTCTGGTTCCAGAATAGACGGGCCAGGTGGAAAGCCAAGCAGCTGGAGCGCTTGTATGACACAGTTAAACAGGAACTCGATGTTGTTTCCAGGGAGAAGCAGAAGCTCCAAGAAGAGGTTTGGGCTCCTTTTATATATTATATACATACCTGGACTATTGCTCTGTGCGTGTTTGATACTTTCTGTGCAAGTGATTGATGGCCATGCAGAATTCTTGCTAGACCTCATCTTTTTCAACTCACTCACTAATATGTGGGATAAAACCAAATTTCATCATCGTAGATGAAAATAATCCCTTTTCTTGAACTTTCTATTGGTCTCCTAGCAGCTCCTCTCGCCCATTGATTTCTCTAATAGAAGAAAAAGAAAAAAAAAAGGTCCCTTTTATATTGATGGATCAAATTTTTTAAGCGGTGTTTTGATTTAGAGCTTTGAAGTTGAATAGAGGGCTCGATTGTATACATGGACAAGTGTTTTGTGATCCTCCAAACTCGCTGAATATTCCTGAATTCATCTTTTCCTAAGGGAGGGCACGGGCAATTTTTTGGCTCTACTGAGGAAGATTTTCTCTCTAGCAGACAATCTTAGTACTTTTGTTAAACCTGATGCCTAATGGGATTCGCTACGAAACTCTTTATAAGTTGGCAGGATTGTTTGTCCCACACGCTTGCGCAATGTAAATGCTGCCCTACTGTCCTACGGTTACAAGAAATGGGTTGCTTTTACGTACGACTATTGACCTGTCCCTGTCCTCCAAAATGTGGTTTGGCTAGTAACATCTTCTCAATAATCTAGGTTTCCACGCGTAAAAACTCACAGGAATTACAAATTTGCAATCTTTTACTCTTTACGAAACGTGCAGCGATCACAGGAATTGTTTACTTTTTTTTTTTTGTTTTGTTTTCTTTGATTTTACTTCCATTATCTCATCTTGTCCCTTCTTAATTTGTTTGTAGCTGTACTGAGTACATTGTTCATACATATGTTGGGACAGGTCGTGGCTTTGAGAGCTATTCTAAAGGAGCAAGTCGGCAAGAAGCCAGTTTCTACCGGCTATACAGAAATGTCTGGGGAAGAAACTGTAGAAAGCACCTCCATTCCCAGCTCTAGCAAGCCTCGAGGAGTGGGAGGAAACAACCTGCAAACGGCGGAGTGCAGCTATGTCTTCAACGTCGATGACTATAACCCTGTGATGCCGCCTTACTGGGCTGGTCTACCTTCATATCCATAAACTTGTTTATATAGTTAGACGGACCTTTGTTCTAATTAGTTCTTTCTTACGATGTAAGCTTTAGAAGAAGAGGAACCCTAGTAGTCGTTTAGCTCGGGAACTTAACTACTATTCCACATCCATCCAACCAACTAGACGTGACTAGCTCGATCCGGATATTCTGTCTGACCAATATCGCAGTCAAGAGCTCATATGTCAAAAATGATTGTTATATTTATCATTATAACGTTGGACATCTTCTTCCTTTTTTTTTTTAAAAAAAAAAAAGGAAATTGCGCTGACTCCCAGAATATCATTAATTACTATAAAAATAAAAAAAAAAGAAAAAAAATAATGTTGTCCTTAAAATATATTATGCTGGCTTAAAAGTTGTCCTTCGGATGATATCCAATCGGAATCTTGGAATGTATGAACGCGTTCTTTAATTAGATTTTTTTTTTTTTTTGGTTCATTTAATTAAAATCTTGTTGCTGTGTGTTGTCAAGCCCATGAAAAACCCTCTTTTATGAACCAATAAGAGGATAACAGCTTGCAAGCATTTCTTTCGTAATAAAAAAAAAAACTTGGCCCAAATTTACGGATGATTCTATGGCCTGTTGCCTCTTGGGGCGTCTGTCTATATCCAAGCGTTCAGGACCAGCTGTCCAGTAAACACGTCAGCGTCCCAAAGCAGAGAAGTGAAGTCTTCACTCTTCTGCAAGCCCAACAACTTCTTCTTTCACTTTGTTTCTTTTTCCATTCTTTTTTTTTTTTTTGTAACAACTAATTGAGTTTGGTTATTGCTGGAAATAGTTAAGGGAGAGGATTTCACCGTTTGAAAATTAGACAGTACATTGAAAGTTCTGAAAACACGGACGGACCGTAAGCGTATACATACACCGCGCAAGTTAAAAAAATTTAGAGCGGACATTTATTTTGCGAAATTTTGCATCGTCTCATTCTGTTTTATAATTTTTGCATTTTATCCTGCAATTAAAGCTTAATTATTTAAGACGTCATAAACCTTCACCTCGTACCAATAACTATCAATGATCTGTCATTCAAACACAAAACAAAAACACAACAGCAATAGAATGCCTCGGAAGAGATGAGATTTCCACGATTACTCGGAGACGGAAGATAATTTCCAAACCCAGCTGCTGAAGATTTTTGCCCATCAGTTTAAGCATCCACCATAGGACACATGGGTTTTCAATTTCAGACATTTCATTTTGCATCAATAGGACTGGTGAATGCAACTACCTGAATAAATCGTCGTGAGCACAAGGAAAAGTTCACCGGTCATCTTAGTGAGATACAATACGCATATTCCATAACAAAAATAGACATTCAAAAATGGTTTAGAACAAACAGTTGTACGGAATCAACTGAACCCAGCAGTAATATATAAAGGAAATCACATGCGCAATTTCTACTATGATGTTGCAACAAAACAACAGATCTCAGCTTTTAACGCTTTCCACCACCACCTCCAAGCTTAGGACCTTTAGGTGCAGTGGCACCCTTTGGCACATTCCCCTTGCCTCCAGCCTTCTGAGCCTTAGCCATCACCTCTGCTTTCTTTGCTTTCTTTTCGTCTTTTGTCTTCTTGATCCTTTCCTTGATTTCACTGCCGCCAAGCAAATCAAACATCAGTTAAGTCCACTATCTTATCATATGCAACTTTCTTATCTCCTACCAACAGATCAATGCAATTCTTTCACAACAGTCATGGAAGAGGAAAAGTTGAGAGATCTTAAAATTGGTTTCTTGGGAAAGGAGGGTAAGGCTTTGGAGACTAGGCCATGAGTCAATGTCCCACTTTACAGGAAAAAGATGAAACATCTTTCTTGCGAGAGAAATACAAACTGTTGTTCCTAGAGATATAGGAAATCTAGTATAACGAACCAAAATACTGGTTTCCAATCAAGTAACTCAGCTAGTCATAGATGGTAGGCCTGCTTTTTGGGACAATGACTGATAAAATAGCATTACAACTAGCCAACACACATGGACTCAGAGAAGAATATAGACAAAGAGCACAATGTAATAAGAGAACTTACCGAAGAGCAGCCTCCCTGGCAGCATCTCGTACTTCTGCCTTTTCAGTTCTTCTCTTTTGAATAACCTCCAAAGTTGCACCAACAATTGACCTCGAGTAAGGTTTCTTTGTGGCGCGTCTCCTCTTTTTCACAGCCTCTTGGGCTATATCCTAAACATTCATCAAAGCTACCAGTTAACTACAGAACACGTAAAGACAACACAAGCAAACCGAACAAAGTTGCCAAATTTGCACCCAGCTCGTTATATCTGTGAATCTATATCATGATTTTACCCTCTATCCAGGCAATTATATAGGTCCACATCAAGGCAATCAAGTCCATCAATAAACGACAAAGCTGGTGCCACAGTTGTTCTTACCTTCTTATGATGTTTCCTGTACATAGCTGTCCAGGTGAGTTTGGAAGGCTTCAGACGGTTGTGGAAATATCTCTTGCATTTTGAATTTGCAAAGAGAAAGACCTAACGGAACATTATTCACACAGTTAAAGATTGCAAATAATTCATCTCTTAACCAAAAATGGAGAAGTCTACGTGATATACCTGAGAATCTGAGCGAACAAATCTAATTCCCTTCCCAGGGTATATCTTTGCCCCACTGAAACGGCAGAGTTCTGTCCTGGAAACAGCAACAATTGCTCATGTCAAACGATATCAATGCTGAAATCCAATCCACAAGGGGAATATGAAACATCAAATATAGGAGCTGAAAGCATGAAACAAACACCAAAGACAAAATAGGCAATGGTGTGATGATACTGTTTTAAGTACTGCAGCAAGGGAGAACAAACCTCAGTATTGTAACAAGTGTAAAATTGACTTCCTTGATTCCAATGTTTACCCATTTCAACATACAGCATCTACTTTACTACTTTATTAACTAAATTAGTTTCTTCAGAAAGTTCACTCAACCTTTAGTGTATCAGAAAATTAATCCACAGCCTACACGTGGATATATGAAAACTAATTTTGTACTGCTTTTCTTGCTGAAAGAAAGTCTTCTGGTAACTTCCTGGTTTATTTTGATGCTAATAGTCTGTTTCCTTTCATATTCAGTAATTACCAATCTGCAATTGACACCCAAACAACTGACCGATGTCACCAAAAAACCAGTATTCGATGCTTGAAAGCTTGACTATTTACCCTGGAGAGCCATTCATGGAGTTGGCTCTTCCACCTGTGGACTAGGCAATGACACATAAACACAAAAACAAAACATGCAATACTGGAGATTGGTTTTTCTATTCTTAACAAGCCTAAGCAACCCAAGGCCAAAAAAAAGGGTGAAATACAGTAGATTTTTCTCTCTTATTAAACAGAAAGTTGGGCAAAGAAAAATCAATGGTATCTCCAATCAGAAGATAATCAATTAAACTAAATATCTGCAAAATTTAATGTTATAGATCTCTCCTTCAGAATTCAGAATTCAAAGAACAAAAATGACTTAAAATAAAGCAATCATGCATACACTTCGCACAGAAGTGCATAAAGACCTCAAAATGTTCCCAACCTAAACTAGTTAGGTCAGTGCTACATGCCCTGCTGCAAATCATCTTCCCATTAACGCAAAAAGATCTTATTAATCTAAACTCCCCATTCACAAGTAAGAAAAATGAACATCGGCCTTCCCGCACGGCTACAATGCACGCTTGATTTTGAAAAGATATTAAGCATAAACAATCGCTACCAAGCAAATCCAACTAGGCCAAAAAATAAGAAAATATAAATAAAAGGGGAAAAATGCAAAACAAACACGCGTTTCCAGTATAGCAATGGTTTTTTCTTCATTCTTTCTCAAAGTAAAACCAAAATTCCAAAAAATAAATCTCCAAATATCGACTCCTTGAGTAGATAAATCGATCAATCAAAAGCATAGGCAGAGACAGACGCATATATAAATCTGCAGATCACCAATAAGCAATATTTGAAGTTAAAATTGACGATTAGAACGATAAAGGACAAAGAACATGAAACATGCAGAAATACACACAGATAAAAGTCAGACAGAGAGAGAGGAGAGGGAAACCATACTTGAGAACCATGGCTGTTGGTACGGGATTTGCTGTTTGTTTTGACGCCTGTGCTGCGGAAACCCTAGTGACGATCCTTTATCCTTTTTATTTCAATCTCGATCGTGGACTGAACTCCTGGGACCTAAACTAGCCCCACTCTAGCCCAAAGGAGATTTGGATAACCGGCCCAAATAAATGTGGACCTAATTTCAGTGAATGGCTCCAACAGGCGTCATTGATGTGGACAACCGGAGGGAGACGTTGTGGATTGGGTGCCACGCACAGTGGACGAATAGTCGCGTAACTGGGCTTTAGGCCCGGAAGGTCCTTCCTACCCAAAAAGAGCGCTATAAGCAAATGATAATAATAACTATGTGTCGTGGCATAGGTTAATGATCTATCAAACTGAATTAATTCAGTATTAGCATGATCATCTTCCACATATTCCAGCTGTTGAAGCAAATGTCTCTTTAAAATTCACTATCTATTGTCTCTGTGATCCCAGTCAATAGATACGGTTAGGAAATAATGGCAGGTTGAATATAAATAAGGGAAAATGATCGGTTTCATCTTTCACATTTCACAAAAATATTTTTTTCATCCCTCACTTTTAAAATGAAATAATTTCGTCCTTGACATTTAAAAACTAAAATTATTACATCCCTGAACCCAAATTTTAATCTAAATCAAACCATCAATTAACCTGATTACAAATTTTAGGGGTGTAATTGATAGATCACTTGGTTAACTCAACTTGATATTCATCTAAAATTTAATGAACCTAAAAAGAAAAAAATAAAAATTATAATATAAAAAAGAAAGATTAATCTTTTCTACATTATCATTGTATATACTGACGGTTTTATGCACCGCCATATCATTTTAATTTAAATTTAAACACCAAATTTTATATTTATGATACACATCTAGATTCGCAAGCGGATAAACTAACGGTGCATGAAAAGATTTATCCAAAAAAAAAAAAACTCTACTATTCCAAGACAAAGAATGGCCTTTTATGTTATAATTTTTATTTTTTTGGTTTAATAAATGCTATGTGAATACGATGAAATTGACCGAATGATCTATCAATTCTATTTTCGAAATTTATTACTGAATTATTGGATGGTTTGATTCAGATTGAAAATTAGGTTCAGGGATGTAATAGCTTTAATTTTTAAATGTCAGGGACGAATTTGCTTCATTTTAAAAGTGAGGGACGAAAAGAATATTTTTTACGAAATGTGAGGGATGAAACATGTCTTTTTTCCTATAAATAAATCCGACTCACTGGTCTTTTTTAGCCAACCATCAATGCATCTTGAAAGAAGAAAAAAAAATCAGTTCAGAGCCAGTTGTCTTGACAGAGTATTATTTGAAAAAAATAATGTAGCACTTTTTGTGATATAATATTTGTGAGATAAAAAGGTGCGTTGAAAAATATGTTTATGATACAAGCAAAATATTATTTGACAAAAATTTGATATCCAAACAAACCGTATAGAAGGCAGTAGTATTTAGCTGGTCTTCTCAACACCAGCGTTCCAATGCCATTAGATCAACAATGCATATTAATGGTCTCACGCTCCATTAGTACGACTTGAACTCGACGTATTATATATATGTAATACCAAACAAATGACTAATACGTGGATGCGATTTTTTTTTTTTTTTAACAGAAGGAGTATTTCAGTTTTGCCAGACTAATCTTCCTACGCCTGTGCACCCGGCCCCCAAGAATACACAAGCGATAAAGAGGTGACTCGAATCTAACTAGACTGTTCCGAAATTATTCGAGCCAACCCCAAAGGGCACGTGGACGCGATTATATGTTTTGTGAAAAATGTAGTGGAAGGGACTCTAATTTTCAAACCAAGGCACGTGCTTCTGCATTTGCATTTTGGAGGACAAGGTTAAGAGTCATATCAAGTTCTTGGAGCAGTTGAAAAGGACGGAGCAAACTTAATGAACATGATTATCAGCATGGTTTAGAGGCCCAATTCTGTGGCCGTGTCCATGTCGTTCCAAGCAGTGCTCCAGTACCAGAAAGAATACTACTAGTGTTTTTCGCATATGTTTTGTATATATCATGCATGTTCTTGGGGCAATAATAGAGAAAGAAGGATAGAACAATCAAACGTGTACTTCTTACATGATCATCTCACCTTTCGTCTTTTGCTACCCGTCCGTTTCTTTTTATTCTTTTTTTTTTTGAGTCCCATCTCACAAGGCTATTTATTCATCTCTCTTCCCACTCAGGTTTCAACTTCAAAAGGTTACTCCATGTTTCAACCAGCACATTATTTTTGTCAGGTAGAACAAAATTGACCGAAAATGTTGACAACTACCGATAATTTGTCGCCTTGGGCTCACTGCTTTCAACTTTCATGTTCGGAATAATTTGGGATCATCGTCGTTCCGATCTTCAGCTTCATTCAGTTTTATGATTGCCGGGATTGTTTGTTGACGTGGAATCGCTATTTTATTCAAATTGGTTTGGTTTCATTGTTGATTAGTTAACACTCGGATGACTATACGAGAACCACCGCCCTCATCGCCCTCTTCCATGTCATAATCAATCCCCAAACCCTAACCCTAAAAAATTGGAAACCTCCGCTTCGAGTTTCAGTCAATGGCGAGCGACTCCAATGAACCCACGCGTCTAGGCCTGTCAACGATCAGGGTCTAGATCCGTATCCGGTCGGATCCGTCAAATAATTTCGGATACGGGTAGGGATATAATTTCGTTACTCAAATCCGGGTCCGTTTTGTCAAACAAAAATGGGTCGGATACGGAATATGATATTCCAATCCGTATTGGACTCGAATCCGGATATAAATTGATTAATAATTTTAAAAAATATATATATTTATTAATATAATATCCCAAATTTACTTCTCTGGCTATTATCCAAATAGTCAAACACACAAAAAACAAGTGTTGTTGAAAATGGGTTTTTGATGGGCCCTTTTTTGAGTAGATCCAACCCGAATTTGGGACCCGTCAAATCCGAAATTGGGAAAAAGAGTAGAGGACGAGTTGGATATTCGGGCACCCGAATCCGAAGCTGGTATAATATGCCGGATCCGGATTCGAATTTATTAGTTTCGACCCGAACCCACCCGGTTGACAACCCTGCATGCGTCGCAAGCGCCGCCGCCCTCCCAGTGAGTGCAGCAAGCAAGGAAAGGATGTCATTTTTTATTATAGCATCGTGTAAAACGTGAAACAATTTATCTAATCTTTTACTACTACAATTTGCGAGGACCAGAGAGAGAGAGAGAGAGAGATCCCTGGACCAACCACCCCATAAAAATGATGGATAATAAAGTTACATTCTGGGGACATTCTTGAAGACAACAGCGCCGCCCATATATGGAGTACGATTCTATTCTTGAATCTTGATCATGCTGCAGAATGGACAGCCAGACTGCCGGAAAGCTTTATGTTAATGCGTTGGCGTGCATATGAATTAATTAAACCAACCGAGTTCTTTAAATTGTAATGGTGAAGTTTACTTGCAATTGGTGCTAATTTTAAGTTTTAACTCCTATCCACCACTCCATGAAAACGGGCATCAAACGCAAAGGGATGTAAAACACCATCACTCAAAATTAAACAAGCCAATTGAACTGATAAAGATGGAAACAAATGGAAACCACGGACACGGAAACAAATGGAAAAAAATGGAAGGTAGGGGGTGGGGGTGGTTAGCGCTGGCTAACACTCACTCGGAACCCCAGACATCAAAACTCAGACGATCTCAGGGGATGGTCAATTAGGCATTGGCCAACGCCCATTTCTGCAGCTGTTGTTGCTGTTCAAAGCTCAATCCTGTTCCTGCTGCAGCCTTTATTTATTCTTTGCGTACCTTAATCTTCTTAGACACCTACTATTTTCACCGCCTTCTTTCTGCCACAGGGCGGTGGGACTACTGGCTGCTACAGAAATCTAGAAATCCCATGAATTCGTGATTCTTTATCATCGTGACGCTCCTCTCTATTCCTATCACGCCTGTGATTATCAAGAAATTACCCGAGTCAAATCATGATATCAACTAAGCTTCCTAACAAAATTATAAAACATTGAAAATCGTAGCAGATATAATCACCCATTGTGATAGCACTGGCGAAAATTACACCAGAGAGAATGAAAACAATTATTGAAGCTCTCCTCAGAATGGTGATGAGTCTTCTTATGAAGAATTGTCCCCAGAATCCAGCCACGATAGACACAGTCATCAGGTATAAAGCTGCAAAATAACTCAAATGTAAACACTTTTTTTTTGTTTTGCCAAAAAAAAAAAAAAAAAACTTTAAGCTACCGCTGTATCCGTTTTAAAGAAAGTCAAAAAAATTGAAGCTGATTACGCAATGATAAGGTAGTATCATATTATTATATCCAGGGACACGGTAGATGAATGAAACATGATAATATACCATAGGGAATAGGAAACCTCTTGAGGAGATAAAACTCCACGACGGATAAAGATGATGAGAACATCATCACAAATGTCGCTGTCGCACTGGCTACCTGCAAACACAAACAAAAGTTAACCAGCCCTCAATAATGTCCCCTTTATGATAAAAACAACATTAAATTAAAAATCGCGTAAACAGTAATCCGCTTGTGCCACGAAAGCGAGTTTTTTTTTTTTTTTTTCCCTTTCTTACACTGGTTGGTGACTTGATTTTGAGCAAATTAAATTTTTTTTCAGATACGATAACTATTGTATAACCTATCTATCCTAAACTTGACCTTACTGAGTTAAGGGCTAACAGCTACAGAGACCTTACTGAGTTTGAGCAAATTAAGCACAACTTAAAATGGAGAGGTGAGCAAAACCTGAGGAATGACACCAATCTCAAGGAGGAGAGGCCCCAAAATGAATCCACCACCAGACCCCAACAACCCTCCAACAGTGCCTCCTAAAATGCCACAGAGGGCACAGAATGCAAGGTTTGTTCCAGTCCACTGAATGGCTGCTTCACATACTAAATCCTTGTTCCCTTCCAGTCTCCTTTTCTTGCTTTCTCTGTACAGTTTAACACATTCGTATCCAAACACTACAAGAGCAACCGGGACCTGGAAAGTGAAACCAAGAAACCAAAAAAGGGATGTGCTTATAAGGATCGATAGATCTCCTGTGGACTTATGGTGTACGTATTTCATAATGGGCTTCACCTACCTGTACGATGTTAAGCACCCAGTACAATGTAGTACAGGCAACTAAATCATTCTGCATGTGATATAGTTGAGATTAGAGTCATTAATGACAAGATTAAATAGACGACAAAGACGCACGAATCAGATATGGCTATAGAGGAAGCAAGGGAACAACTTGCCTTGGAAACCTGAAGAACTAAAAAGATGATCCATACTAATAGCAGCACCCCAAATCTCTTCAAATTAAGGTTGGACCGCATAATTTGCTGAAAGGGTAACAAGATGACATGTTATTTTACATTCTACCAATCGAAGCTGACATGAAATATGGAGAAAATACAAATCACAAATAACGCTGTGCTTACCAGCGCTGTTTTTTCCTCTCGAGGGACTAGTGGGTCATATTCCGTATCGATCAAGACTGAGTGAAATATGAAGAACCAAAGAAGATGGTAAGCACTCACTAGAGAAAAATGTTATTATCCCTGGTCTCTGCCAAGTCCAAAGAAAATTTTCAATTTTACCAAATTCAGAGGTTTGTTGGAAAACTTACGCTCCCCATGAGAATTAACGAGAGTCTTTTCTTGTTCTGCAATTTCCTTCTGCGATTACCCCAAAAAACAACAGTTAAAATGGTTGATCACCGGCACCCAAATAATCAGTTTTTGAGAGACGTAATTGTCCAGTGTTAAGTCTTAACGTCACGTCGCCCTTTGCAGCACTAGTTTGTCTTGAGCTGACAATTAAGTGCAACAAACAAAGAAAATATTTTTTTTTCAAACCACATAAGCCGCAATTTTGCTGAAAAACAAACCTTCACGATGCTCTCTTCCTTCCACATCTCAATTCCCTTGACGAAAGACCTCGTGGAAGTACCTGTTGCCAATATTGCAGGAGAATTCTAAGTTTTTAAATTGAATGCCTGAATTGAAAGAAACGATAAATTGTTTAATAAACCTCCAGGCCTTAATTGCGAGATGTCAGCTGATCGAGCCAATTATCAAATTGTCGAATTATACTAATTGACCTACTGGCCTAGTGCAGCAGTTAATGTAGATGGGGCACAAAAGAGAACACCTATGAAGAGAATGATGATCAGTACGGTGATGAGCCAGTACGGGAAGACGACACTTAGAGCCACTCCAATGGTGATGCCAAGCATAAGCATGGGCTGAAATAGTAGGGCCAGCTCATAGTCAATAATCGGAACTTCTCTGCATGGATGAGGAACTCTGAGATTGTACCAAACTGATGATGCTGATGCCCCCATTATCATACCTGTGACACGCCAACTTGACGAATCAGACAACCCCAAAAATAACGAAAAAGACAAAAATTAGAGTCCTAGGTATGCTGGAATTTACTGGTGAATTGCTGTCCTAGTAAGTGTGGTTGAGAAGTTTGGTAATAGCATGACAAAATTCATGTTTTCTCTGAAGGGAACGAAACAGAAGAAAGACAGCAGTAAATTTAATTAGGGGAGAGAAGTTTGAAAAGATGGGCGCTTACACTTAGAAATGGCAGCAGCAGACTTAGTATCAAAACCCACAATGAGAGTAAGCATGGGGACGAAAATGCCTCCCCCACCGACACCTCCCACAGTTCCACATGCTGATCCCAGGAATCCTATTATTGTTGCCAATATGATTCTCCAACTAAACTTCAACTCCTGCAACCAGGAGGAGCGAGCAATGAAGAAAGCAAAATACTGGCAATCTCACGCAGACACGCACTCTCTAGACAAACAAAACATGAAAGCCAAGAAAAAAAAAAACAGCGACAATATTGAATGATGTTGAGCGCCATGAGAGACGACAACACGTACATAACGAGAAGAGAAGACAAGAGGGAAATAAAAAAGAAAGATAGTCGTACAGGCCAAACTTTTGATTCAGATCCGTATGGATGTTGTTGCAAAACATTGGCGGAGTTCGAAGAAGACGATAAAAGAGAAGACGGTGGCGAAAGCGCAACACTAGCATTTGAATGGCCGTTATTATAAACGAACAACACAGAAAGAACAGCCACCGAAAACCCCGTCAACAAATACACCACCAATCCTCTTGTCGCCATAACAATCAATCACAAGTCTTAACGACTTCCAACAAACGCCGTCGTCGCCGCAGCCCTTCGACACCTTTGTCTTCGGCCCCGCCCCTCCTTTTTTTGCACTTTTCCTTGCGTTACTCCCTCCTCCTCCCCGCTTGTTTAAATTCTCAGTAAATGCCAAAGACCGAAGTTCACAAAACTCGCACAATCACCAAATTCTATTACCTTACATATATACGAAGCACTCAAATCACCTAATTTAAGAAGGAAATTTTGGTTCCCCATTTATTCTCGTGAAAAAATATATGGGTGGGTGGGTGGGCGGGCGCGCGCTCGGTGCACATGTGATTGATACAACAGCCTCACGGAGAGAGAGGCGGCATTTTTTCTTTCTTGTGAAACGACAAAAAAAAATAAAAAAAAAAAAAAGAACCAAATTATATGATTCTTCTGGCTACACATGCGTGACCACGACCACACGTAAAGGCAGTAGTGATTAGTAAAATTGCAATTGCTCTGCGTCTGCGTCACAGAAAAATGTACGCACGATTACGGCGACGCTTCAGGGGAAGCAGCTAGTCATGTTGAAGCTTCGGCGGCTCGTAGTATTTGTGATTTCTGCAAGTGTACGTGATTTGGGGTATTTGTGGCTGTGATTCCTCATTCATAGCGTCAGATGGCGATTGACACTTGGAAAATAAATGCAGTGTTTGGATGGATGAAAGGGAATTCCTAAAAATTTTCATTTTCAATAATTATTCTCTGTGAATGAGTAAAAGTTGGAGAATTGAATATCCATATGTCAGACAGACTAGCGTTGTCTCCTCCGTGTCAATTATTAGCAACTGCCAATAATAATTATAATGTCGCGCAAGATTCTGCTCCGTAATGACTATGAATTTGGACATTTATTAGGAAGACAAATCTGGCCGGCTTTTCTTTCCAATTTTTCAGAAGACAAATCTGGCTTTTCTTTCACCTCACTTAACGTATCCACATCACCCCCTCTGCACGTCGAAATCCCACGCCCACCAACCAACCAGTGCCAGAAATTATTATTATTATTATTATTGTTTCGTTGTATAAATGATTTTATGATTCCAGCTTTGCCCACGCGTCATTGTTGGACGTAAAACTCCTCCATCTTTCCTCTTCAGCATTTATCAAGTGGATGCTTGGCTTCTTATACACAATTGAATCCGAGTCTACAAAACCAACTGCTCTGGGGATCAAATACGACGGACTCTGGCAATCTTCATCTCCATCTCCATGCATGATTTGCCTCGAAGATTCCCCCGAAACATTGTTGTAGTAGGCCCTAAATGAGCCACTTCGACGACCATGTGATTCACTGAATTATATGATTAAGTTTGACAACTATACCTTTGTCTTCTTCGCTTCCAACAGTCCAAAAGAACTAAAAGTATGTACATTAAATATAGAAGTTCTTCTTTTGGACAGTATTATCAACATGGAAAGACAATAATACTCGGTCAGCTAATGAAAAAGAGAAACATGCACGGTCTTGTCCTCCTAATCTTATCTCCTTTATGTTTTTTCCCAATGTTTTGAAGCTCGAACAGTTAATTGAATCGGTAAAATGACCGAATTGAGGTTCAATTGATCGGATCAGTTAAATCCTGGTTCGATGATATTTTATATATATATATATATATATATATATATATACACATATACACATACATACTTATACACACACACACTTGTGCATAGAATAATTGTTCCAAACTGTTATCCCATTGACTAATTTAAGACATCACTTGATAAAAAATTAAATATTTTTAAACACAAATAAATTTTAAAAATTGTAAATTCAAACAAATAAATTCATCTTAATTGTACCTACTTGGTAAAAATCTTAAATCCCACAAAAACCACAACCATATTCTAAAATAAAACAAAATGCATTGAAACTTTTGAAATTAAATAAAATCTAATGGAACTACAAAAGAAAACGGCAATCTTTGAGTTTGAGAGTGAGAAATATAGAGAGTTTAGTTACTCTTTTAGAAATTAGGGTTGGGAACAAAAGATTCTACTAATAAGTTTTATTATGTTTAAAACTTTAGGTCCAATTTTTTTTTTTTTAAAAAAAAGGACGGAAAAAATGAAAAAATCGCAGTTCACGATTCAATTCGGATTGAACAACTCACTGATTTTTTTATGATTTTGACCGATTTTTATGAAAAGTCAATACTGGTAATGAACCGGACCAGAGACTTGGCTGGTTAGCTATCTGACTGATTGAACCAGTTGGTCCTATCCGATTTTCAAAACATTGGTTTTTCCGTCTACTCCACGCGCATATTTCCCCCAATAAATCATAAATGCTACTAGAATCTTGAAAGACCCGAATGAGTAAATTTTCCTTTTCATTACGAGCAATTTGGTTATCAACATGTATACGTACCATTAAGTAGTATCGTGATTCTTCTTTTCTAACCGCTCTTTTGCGATTGATGATGATTAACACGTTCTCTATTAGCCTAATAGTAAATGACCAAAAGGATAACCAAACTTTTTAAAATTGCATCGATTGATCGCAAAACCTTTTTTTTTTTTTGAGTTTAAAAAAAAATCCATCTCTTTAAAACGAGCTAAAAGAGTCATTCAAACGAATTCAGCAGCTAATTTTACTAAGAAAAGTGTAAATGTTTTCATCCGAATTAAATACTAAATTGGCTGAAATGATCTGTTTTATTTGTTTTAAAGCGGTGAGTAACCTTTTTGATAAAAAAAAAAAAAAAGTTTAGTGAGCAATCACACTGATTTTAAAAAACTTGGTGATCTTTTTGACCATCTACTCTTCCATTAATTCCAGCCTCCTATGTCTTAGTTGAAAGTTAATTGATTAGTCGGTTAAGCACTAAACGCCCTGGTAGAAGCACTGTACTTCCTTTGATCAAACACAACCATGTTTATGTTTTTTTTTTTTTTTTCGCCGGAACTCAAAATCTTAAATTCAACCTACCATAAGTTTAGAATAAGGGGCACATATATGAGAGTCTTGTGTATAAGCATGAGCCAAGGATCTGTCTGATTTCACCCAATGTTAATGCATGAGGCCGATGAATTAATTAATACCATAATCTACATTTTATACTTCATTTACCAGCTTGTCAAACGTGCGAGTGTTGTTTACAAGATATGCCTTATTTTAAGATTGGTGAATGGTCCTCACCCTTTCTTGTGGATTTCAATGGCGGAGAAAGGGGACAAAAATGGGCTAGTAATATCTTTTCGAGAGTACTCATCGTGTCCAGCGCGGAAATCGGGAGTAAGAATTCCATCTCTCGTTCTCATCCAAAGAATAAAACACGAGAAATAATCAATCATCGAAGGATCAAATCAAAAGGAGGACCTGGAAATGTCGTCATGCTATATTCTCAAAGAGGTACAGCCATACGCTACGCAATAAATAATAAGAAGAATAGCATCTTAGCAGCCACCCCCCCCCCAAAAAGAGAGAGAGAGAGAGAGAGAGAAGAATCACCATCTTATATACAGTGTATATGTGTTGTCGTTTTAATTTTCAGCAAAGATATCTCTGTTACGAGTAGGAATGATAGTGGATAGAGTAAAATTCGATATCCGCACAAATATTCGATCCGATGGTTAATTCGATTTAGACGACAGATAAGTAATTCATTAGGATTTGGTATTAATGAGAAATAATTGATGGATAATTGGATAAATTTGGTAATAGAACTCTAAAAACTCGAAACCTAAAATATAAAATGTCGAATTCCTTTCATATATATAGGTTGTATGAGTCTACCAAAGTTTAAAAATTAACATAATGTGTTGATTTAACATTATGCAAGCATAAATTTTTATTTGATAATAGTTAATTACCTTTTTTCTGAATTATTCAAATTAATGAGTAGAGGATATACGATGAATAGTTTGAACTCTAGAGGGTTTGATAATGGAAGTTGAAATCCGTGGATTACCCGACAAGATTTGATTAAAAAAGGCTTCGATTCACATGTTAAAATTTGGTAAGAGAGTTTTTGAAGGTACCATCTCGAATGGCAAGTGACGATTGCTCGAATTACTGAAGAGGACAACTTTCTCCTTGCTAAGTTTTGACTGATCGTGAAAGCACTGCATATAGATGAGACCACGAAGCAGTCATTTTCAAAACGAAGACATCAAGACCATGCTAATACTGACAGTGTGCTCGGCCTCATTTTGGGCTTTGAACCAAGCTGCGGACTTGAAGGCCAAGACCATTCGTTAATGTCTAATAGCAGGATGCCACTGGGCCTTTCAGGCCGATAATGTTCAGTTCTGGAATCATCAAATGTCCTTGTGCATGTCAACCGCCGGAGAAGACAACAAGGGTTGGCAGAAAAACATCGACAGCAAAACAAAATTTCAAACAAATTCTAACACAAATCAAGGCGTGCCATATTGCACCACCCTCTTTGAATGATTTCAAGCCCCAAGACTACAAGACTGAGAGATATGCTTGGATGTGATATTCACTACATAAACTGCTAACTAAGGAGAAAGGCAATTTAGCCCGTGTAGAATAATGCGCGAAGCATGTGCTAGTATAAGAAAAGTGCAATAGAGACGATTCATCAAAGGCATATACCAACCACTGAACTCTAGCTCACTGGCCACCATCACTCCTGGTGGGGTGGGAGGTCAGGAGTTCAATCCTTGCCTCTCACCAAATTGCCTGCCCCTCATGAACAATTCAGTTGGTCTCAGCAAGCCTCCTTAGGAATTGGTGTTCAGTACCTGCAAGGGTCCGAGTCCTGTGATTGTCGTGTTTGGGGAATGGAGCCTCTCCTCTCGGGTTGGAGTGAGATTAGTCGAACTTCGTAAGAATTGACCCGGACACCTACTCCGTCAGAAAAAAAAAATCAAAGGCATATACCACCAAAATTCAACTACTGACTGGACACCTACTCCGTCAGAAAAAAAAAATCAAAGGGTCCGAATTCTGTGATTGTCGTGTTTGGGGGATGGAACCTCTCCTCCCGAATTGGAGTAAGATTAGTCGGACCCGTAAGGATTGACCCGTACACCCATTCCGTCAGAAAAAAAAAATCAAAGACATATACCACCAAAATTCAACAACTGATTCGCCACCAGATCAGACATGACCAACAAAAACATCTCAGAAAATCAAAGGAAAAAAAAAGCCAACAAGTAAAAGAAAAAACAGCTTTGACACCCACCCTAGTACAACCAAATCTAGCCCAAAAATCTCCATGGCAGCATTAAGCCCTGTTCCCGTCCTCATCTCTCACACGCGCCAC